AAATGTATAAAATTATATTACTCATTATTAATAATTCAATAACACTATTTGTATGAAAACAGTAAATAATATTAGTTATATTAATAATTTATTATATATTATTAAATTTAAAATATAATATCATATATTACTATAATATAATTGAGTATATATTAATATAATATTAAAAATATAATATTATTAAAATTATATTATATAAATACATATTTTAAATATTTTAATGATTAATATTTTCAATAAAATGATACTAAAATATTATTATTTTATGTGCTTATACTTGAAGTGAAAAGTTAGAAAAATGTTTTACAAAAATTTAGATGCTAAAACATTTTACAAATAACGTAAAGGAATTAAAAAATAAATTATATTGAAGAAAATCTGTTACAACTATTAAACACAGGAAAAGAAGGAAAATATTTTCCAGAAAACAAAATATAGTTATCAAATATAGGAAAAGGAGGAAAATATTTCCCAGAAAGTAATTGTTAATTTTTTACGAAGCATTTCTCGTTTGGTTACTATTAAATTGATCATTATTTTATTTCTTATAATTGTGTTAAACAATGTCAATTTTTTATTGATGATAACTTAATTTGATTTAATTTTTAATTTTTAATTTTTAAATATACTAAAATATAGATGTAATATTTAAATTATCTATTAGTATATTTTACCAGGAATCTATTGTTAAGTTTAATTTTTTTTTACTAATCTCATGTTTAATTTTAGTAATTATATTTAAAAAATTATAAGATTATAAAAGAGAAATATTTTTACAGTGATATTTATTATACCTTATAAATAAGGATAATTTTATATTTTTAACTGATTTGATATTTATTTATTGATGATATCAAATTCAATCATAATTTTAAATATTAGTATGATTGTATGATTCATTTGACTATATTTTTACTTAGAACGAATGGCCGATTTAGTGTATATATATATATACATATTCAATTGTACATCTTAATGGGAAGGTAATAAGATCGCAGACGGCATGACGGGGAAATTTTACCGTGCGATAGTCTTAATATACGGTTAAGGAAATGCGTTATCGGTTTTGTTATTATTTTTTTAACAAAACCAGTAAAAAATTACCAGAAACATTATTATTTCTATATAAAACATTAATGTTTTTTTAACATTTTTAGTAAAGTGCCCAATAATAACAAAACCAGTAGAAAAATAACAAAACTGATAGTGCTTTACCGGATATGTTAACAAAACCGGTAAAAATAATAATGTTTTCGGTAATTTTTTACCGATTTTATTAAAAAAATAATAAAAAAACCGATAACGCATTTTCTTAGCCGTATATTAAGGTTGTCGCACGTGAGACTTTCTCGACATGACGAAGTTAGCATGGAACCTAGCTTTTGGCCTTCGACTCTTTCGTTCTCCTCCAGAGAGATTTTATCGCTTTACCACGCTGAAGCAGTTACTGCTGTAGGCATAGATGAAATAATAGTTTAGGCGTTCTTACGCTTTGTTTCTTTTCTTTTCGTTAAAAAAAATGAGTGTATAATTCTTTTTAAAAGATCTAGATCTAAACTAATTCCATAATCAAGGTATGTGATTCTCAACATTTCATACAATATATACATTAACTCTATTTTAACATTTTGTTGGTTTCAAACATAGACATGGAGATGGGTAATGTGTCCAAGTTTCTTCGAGGCAAGACCATATTAATCACCGGAGCAACTGGATTTTTGGCCAAGAGTACTGTTCTTACTCTCCCTTTGATAAGTAAGCCAATGGCTATTTTACCGAGAGCACAGTTAATACTTGATGATTTAATGTTTCAACCATTGCTTTTAGTCTTTTTGGAGAAGATATTAAGGCTACAACCAAATGTGAACAAGCTCTACCTTCTTTTGAGGGCTTCAGATGACAAGTCTGCACCACAACGCTTACATGATGAGGTATATACAAAATTATATCTTCTTTATATGTTGAAATTGATTTAAAAAAAAAACACTAACGTGTGTATATAATTTGCGCATAGATCATAAGCACAAAATTGTTTAGGGTTCTCGGAGACAAATGGAGTTGGGAATTTGATAACTTGATGTCAAGTAAGGTGATAGCAGTGGCCGGCGATATCTCTTGGCAGAACTTGGGAATCGTAAATTCAAAACTAAGAGAAAAGATGTGTGGAGAAATAGAAATTGTAGTAAATGTGGCAGGCACAACTGATTTCAACGAAAGGTAATTAGGATTTTCTTTGTCATAAACATGGCTTGAGTATTAATTCGACCAAGTTTGATTGAATAGAAAATTTTTGAATAAATTTGGACAAGAAGCTAGATTTATGGACAATTTTACAATGATTTAAAATATGAAATTTGTCTCTGATCTATTAAAACTTTAAATTTTTATTTAAAGTTTTTTTTGAAGGTACGACGGTGCATTGGATATCAATACATTTGGAACTTTCAATGTGTTGAACTATGGAAAGAAATGTGATAAAATAAAATTGTTTCTTCATATTTCAACAGGTAATCGTTAAATTTAATTTGATGCTTATTAATTAGATTAAAGTACATAAATGATCTCAGATTACAGGACGCTATTTTGTTGGGCCTCTTAACTATTAAAAGTTAAAAAATAGTCTCTCGAATATATGTTGCTATTTTGTTGAGTCCTTCGACTATTAAAAGTTACAACATGTTTACCAGACTATTTATATGTTTTAAACTCGTCATTTTCGTTAAAAAATTGGCGGTCGTCTGAGGGACGTTAACCTACTAATTGAGACATGATAAAATCTGATAGCAAACCATTTGAGTTGTATATTGTGGATTGACTCTCTATTTACATTTGTGGTCGAGCTAATGTTTAAAATATTATATCATCTAGCCAATGCTTGAAAGCAACAACGGTGCTAGTAGACATCATTAAAATAAGATTTTATCATATCCTAGTCAACATATTAACGTCTAACTCAGATAGTCACCAATTTTTAACGGAAAAAGACGAGTTTAGAACATATGAATAGTCAAACGACCATTTTGTAACTTTTAATAGTAGGGGAGCTCAACAAAACAACACACTATAGTCGAAAGACTATTTTATAACTTTTAATAGTCGAGGAACTCCACAAAATAAAATCTTATAGTCGATAAATCATTTGTGTACTTTAACATGTTAGTTAGTAGTATTTTTAATACTCTTTACACAACTAAACTTAGTTATAAGAGGGAAAAAACAATGTTGCATAATTAACAGAAGGATACTATTTAGTATTAATTAGATAAATTTGAAGATGGTTTAGGAATTGATGAGTTTATTGTGTATTTTCCTTTTAGCTTACGTATGCGGTGAGCAGAAGGAGTGATATTGAAGAAACGATTTCATATGGGTGAGACATTGAATAAAATAGGTAACATAAACATCTTTGAAGAGAAAAGAATGGTGGAGGAAAAATTACAACTACGATATCATTGTGCCCCCAACAATGCAATAAAATTAGCAATGAAAGAATTCGGCCTCCAAAGGTATTTTCCCACTAACATTTCTATTCTATCTTGTTCTGAACTATGATTAAAGTTATCAATTGGGGTTTGTGTTGGTACAGGGCAAAATTGAATGGGTGGCCAAATACATACGTATTTACAAAGGCAATGGGAGAGATGCTTTTAGGGAACTTCAAAGGGGATGTGCCTCTTGTTATTTTACGTCCCACCATGGTTACAAGTACTTATAAACAACCTTTCCCTGGTTGGGTCTAAGGTGTCAGGTATGTAACTCTAATTCAAATTCAAATTCAAAATATTTTTTTTATGAAATTTTGTGGCTTCTTGCATGCAGAACCGTTGATAGAATCGTTGTGAGTTATGGAAAGGGGAAATTACCCTTTTTCTTTAGCGATCTTAACTCTCCTCTTGATGTGGTTAGTAAAACATCAATATGAATTTCTTCCTTTAACTAGGCATGATTAATCAGAACTGAAAGAGAAAAACATGATTGCAGATACCAGTAGATATGGTGGTAAACGCCATGGCTGTGGCCATGGAAGTTCATTATGCAGATCGTCAATGTTCTCGTGAGACCATTTACCACATCAGCTCCTCATCAGGAAATCCTATGAAATTGTCAGATTTTCATAGATTCTTGCATTGTTATTTCACTAAGAACCCATGGATTGATACAAATGGGAAGATCGTGAAAGTTAGTAAAGGAACAGTTTTTAGCACTCCCCATAGATTCTTCCTATTCATGAAACTCAAATATGTGCTTCCACTAAAGGTTTGTTGTTCTTAATTTTGAGTTTTATAAAGTATTTTACACCAAATTGTTCCTTTTTTCACTGTAGTTTCATCTCTTTTCGGGTGTTTTGTTTGATCAATATACTTTGTTGTCAACGTTTCAAGAAAACGTATACGAATCTTGATCGTAAAATCAAGTATATACTTCGATTAGCATGCTGAATTTTACAAACCTTGTGTTCTTCACAGGGATGTAAGTTTTGTATTCTGCATTCTATTTATTAAATATTTTTATATCACATTTAACCAGCTTTCATTTTTTGTCATAAGAACTAACCATTTAAAATGTTTTCTTCTCTCCCAAACAGCTTTGATGACCGAAATTTGGAGACATTGCAAAGGGTGGCTGAAGAGAGAGGCATTGATGTGGCTGAATTTAACTTTGATTCCAAAAGTATTGACCGGGAAGATTATATCATGAATATTCACATTCCTGGTCTTATTCGACATGAGATTAAATCCGAAACGAATTTGTAGAACAATATATATTGCCATCATTGAATCGCGATCACGTTCGAGATTCGGTTGTTTTTTTGCTTGCTGCAGACGCTTAATGTCTGTTGCAGAAACTATGCCTGTTGATCTGTTTATTTTCTTTTGGTGACTTTGAGGAGCTCCTTCGTATCTATTATGCATCTTTATGTTTTATGAATAAGTTCATTTTGGTGGATTTGGTCAGATTCAAACATATATATGTGCAAAATATGTGGGGTGAATTCCTAAATCTGAACAAAATATTTATACAGGAAGAAACATACACGTATCCCCTTTGACCCATTAGATTTGCTGTGTTAAAAAGATTTTAAAATTCAACTCAAATGGAGATCAGCTTATATCTATCTCCAAAGCAAAGTGTAGGCAAGTGTCAGAATTAAGCTTCCCTTTCTTGGAATAGAACCGGTAAGCCACCTCTCAAGGTGGCGGTGAGACCAGGGACAAACCTCGGTGCTTGATTGAGACCGGGAACCTGGATTTTGAACCTCTTAATTACGGCAAGAACCACACATTTCATCTCCACCACTGCTATTTCCTTCCCTAAACAAACCCTTTTCCCCGCTTGGAAAACTGGGAACTTGTATAAGTCTTGAGGGATATATTTCTCATTTTTCAACCATCTTTCTGGCTTGAACTCAAGGCAATCGGAGCCCCAAACCTGTTCCATCCGTCCCATTGCATATGGATGGTAGGTAACCCTGGTGCCTTTCCTCAAAAAGGTTCCATCAGGCAATATGTCATCTTCTTGAGCAAACTTGGAGTCAAATTGGACAGGTGGAAACAGTCTCAGGCTTTCATACAATGCCGCGTGCAAATAGTGCATCTCTCGCATTTGATTAAAGCTTGCGAATTGTTCATCACTCGACCCCACGACCCGTTCCAGCTCGTCTCGGATGGCTGACTCGACTTCTGGATGCTGAGTTAACAACCAAAAGAAGCTAGTCAATCCTGAGGCCACCGTGTCACGACCAGCCAGTAGGAAACTTATGACAATGTCTCTAAGATACTTGTCATCATGGATTGTGCTCATGAATCTTGACAGAAGATCATTTCTTCCGGAAAATCCCTCTTTGCGCCGCTGATCGATCATCTCTTGAGCAAATTCATCCAGTACTTTAATGGCTTCTTTAAGTTGCTTTTCCGTGCCCAAATTCAGTAGCCTTTTGACCTTCCATAGCAAAGGTGAATACGCCTGCCCTCTTTGTGCCGAAAACTTAGATGCTAAATCAAAAGCTTCAGCGAATTCCGAAGCCGGCAAAGATAATTTGAGGCAACCAGGGTCCAACCCGAAGGAGAATTTGCAGATATTATCGAATGAAAATCTTCTAAACACATCTTGTAAATCAAGAACCTGTTCTTTACCCGCAACCGATGATAGAAGAGGGAGAAGCCTGGATTGAATCTCTGACTTGACAATATCAAATGCGTGCGCTCTTACGGAGACGCCACCAAGCTCGAGGCTGGCCATTTTCCTCTGAAACTTCCATGAATCGCCGTCAACATTGAAAATACCTCTACCAAGAAGATCACCGAGGAGATTGGAGAAAGGTTTCCCTTTTGGGTAGTTCTCAAATCTGTTTTTAAGAACATGCTCGACGTTTACTGGGTTTGCGGTGATGATATTGCCAATAACATGGATATGGATGGTTCCAGTGGTGGATTTTTTAAGAAGGTGAGTATACCAGTCACAAAGATTGTCGAATTCTCTGATCCAACTGGAAGTAAGATAAGCCTGGCAGGTTTCACAATTACACCAGAGCTTCGACCTCAAAACAAAGACCAGCAAAGAAAACAAAGAAAACAAGAGGGTAAAAGAGAAGAACACGAAACAGAAAGCAGTGCTCGTAGAGCAAAAGGAAACCTGTGAATCCATTTACGAATTTGAAACAGGAAAAGAAAAGAAGACCCAACAATAAACAAAAGCTGAAGAGATCAAAGAAGGGAAGGTAGGAGATGAAGGAATTGAAGAGAAATGATCCCCTTTATATAGTATACTGCTTCTTTTATTTTTGGTGAAAAGAAAGTCAAATAATTAAGATCGCGATAGCAGTAGAAGTGGCGACGCTGAAATTCTAGCTGTTTGACACACGAGAAAAGAATATTGAATTTTGCATGACTAACACGTGCGCAAAAATAAAACTATGGTTTTGCAAAAATTGGAGTGTCCCTCTCAAGCTTTCACTGTATATTTGCTTGTATTTTTTATTTTCTTTTTGTGCGGCTATGTTATTAACGTAAGCTATTTTTAATATATTGGTAATATTCTTTTATTTCGTAAAAACTATAAGTGAAAAGAAAATGCATTATCGTAATTTAAAAAATATGAAAAATTTAAATTAATACAATGAAAGAAAACTATAATTTCAGTTCAACCCCTAAATATTCCTGAATTCACCCATACTCCAAGACTTCATTGATAATATCATGTATGCTTTTTTAAGCTTATAGTAAAATTTTAGATTTTTTTTAAAATAAAAGCAACTGATTTTATTAAGAAAGAAAAAAATATCTAAAACGCTAATGAGGGTTTACAACTACAATTGTAAACTAAACACACGAGTAGGATATTTTTCAAAACTATTAATTCAAAAAAAATTAGTCACTTAAGATCTTATAAGGATTACACAATGAAAATGTGAAAAATAATAGGTAAATATGAATAGATCTGACCGCTACGGTGAACAGACCACAACAGGATAATTAACTACTAAAGAGACCACCAATTAACGCAAATCAAAATCAAGCATCGTGAGAAAACTAAATACGAATGCATGCTACATATCTAAGTCCAATCGAGAGTCCAAAACACGTAAGGTCATTAGAATAATAAATTAGCGTCATTCTGATTAGTCACGACAATGTCAAATTCAACTATAAGAAAAATAAATGATATAAATAGTTAAAAGACCGAAGAAAAAACCCAAAAAACATATCATAAAAACATATATTGTCGCATACCAACTAAAGATGAGAAAACAAACAAACAATAATTTAGAAGAAAAAGAAGAAGAGAAATCGACTATAACTAATCTAATTTTAAAACTTTAGAAACTTTTTGGATAAAGAATCAAATAAAATTTAATAAAATTTTGGTCCCGTACTTTAAAAGTAGATGGAGTGAAAATGGAGAACCGAGGAAGCCAAATTGAGTTTGGTGACAAGGGAGACCGAGTGGTGGGTTTGGGTTGAGTTATTTTCAATTATGCCGACGTGACCATTGGATTGACGTTTTTTAGCGTTTTGCTGGATTGATGCACACCGACGTCCAATAATTAATCCTCTTTTTCTTGCCATACATAAGCTGTGATCCCAAAGTAGCAGCATGGCAAATAATTGATGAATATGGAAAGACGGCCATGTCGGCCTTAAGTGGGCGTATACGGCTCTTCATTCCGCGCATTAGACAGGGCAAGACCCGGACCTCACGTAACGCCAACTTCCCAAGTTCCGCGGCCACCGTTTAGATTTAAATTTATTATTTCATAACTTTGTATATTAAATTACGTTACATTTATTATAAAAAAACGTGACGGAAAATATTTTATATTCAATATATTTATAAATTTGTGTTATTAAGCATTTAATATATAATATATTTTCTCATACTTATAATGTGTATTAATAAAATATTTTATATACAATTATGTTTATATAAATTATCTCAATGAATGGTTATTGTATAATGATAAGAGAATTTTATATAGATTTATTATTTTCATGTTTGATAATTTTTTTATTATTTTATTTAAATATTATATAATATAAAAAAATAAAAGCATCGTTATAATAATATCATTCAAAAAAACAAAATTAAATATATTAGTAATCTAATATTACAATTTATTAAGGAATATTTTAGCCAATATTTAAATATTTAAAACTATCCCCCAAAGTTCATCCCGCATTCACTATAGCCCTTGATTTTCCGGAACTTCCTAACTTTAAAATTATCTAGTTTAATCTTCAATTAATATCATTCAAATGTAACTGAATCCTTGAACTTTTATATCATTTCAATTAAGTCTTTATGACTTAAATCTCACTTAATCAATGATAATTTATTCTTGACACTTGTATACTCGAAATCGAAGTGTGACATGTATTTTACATATCTTGATACTATATTGAAAAAGAAAAGACATATATGTCAATTTGTGAAGTTTTTCAACTTGAAAAGTGTATATATTTCATGACAATTCAACCAATAATAAGAGGAATTATATGATCTGCAGTAAAACCAATTAAATATAGAAATGATGGCACAATTATTCTCTGAGTTTATACAAATGATCGTTTTATACTTTTTACTCTTATTCTTTTATTTTAAAATATTATGTTCTCAATGTTTCAATTTTTAATTAAAACGTATCATATTTGATAAAAATTATTAGTTAATTAACAACTAACACATATTACAAAAGTGATATTTTCACATGTGATGTATGTCACATTATTTAAAGTGATGACATGATATGTACCACGCCACCAAAATAATTATGTGGCATGTATCACGTCATTAATATGATGATGTGCACACACCATCAGGGATGGATTGAGGGGGTGCTAGGATACGACCACACTCTTTAAAAATTTTAAATTATCTTATATATTTTTTATTGATTATTTAATTTTAAAATCTCTAAATTTCTAATATAATTTTTAAGTTTGCATCTCTTGACATAAATTTCTACATCCGTTTTTGCATACTACGTCAGTAATTAAACACATAGAAATATCACATTAACAATATATGTTAATTATTAGTCAACTAATGTTTTCAATCCAATAATAAATATTTTGACAAAAATTAATACGTTGAAAAATAAAATATTTTAAAAAAATAACTAACAAAGTAACCAGTTATAGAAATATTTAAAATAAATGTGAAATTTACCTTAAATATGTAAGTACGTACCTTATCCAATTAAACTACTTCGAGAAAGCTTCGAGAGTTGTGATAGTAACTCTAAGGTTGTTCCCGTGCTGCCGACTTATAAAACTAGAGGCTGTCCCGTCCCTACTAAAACTGGTTCTGAGAGAAGGATGGTTTTTGTTAAACATGTTATCCACGTTTTCAAAAGCAAGTCCGCCGTTCTCCAGTCTTGTCACGCTTTCTAGGCTCTTCAATTTGGAAGAGATAGAATCCAATCCAATTGAACCGTAAGGGAACAGCTACTAGACTGCTCCACACGTACATTACATGTTTTAAACTGTTCAAAAGCATCACACATTTCGTCCATTACGACAGGCTTAAGTCTGTCGTTTCCCTCGCTGCAATCACACTCCACAACTGCTGTCCACTTCATCCACATGTGAATTTAAACCTAACCTTTTTTCCTCTACTTCTAATTTTCTTTGATCTTTGCTGTGTTTTCATTTTCCGTCTTCTTTTTTCTTTCGACAATGATTTGCTATTCAGGCTTCATACACCACGTAATTATTGTTTTTATGTTGATGCCCTTCACAACATGTGTTTTTTAATATAATATGATTATAAGATAATATATGTTTAATATTTATTTTAACAACTTACAACGCACATATATTCTATAAACGTAATTATTTAAACTCAAAACCTCTAAAAAAAATATAACATTCTCTTTAACTACTGAAATTATCTAATAATCACAAAAGAATTATAATTAGTATCTTTAGTTATATCATTGTTGAAAATTTATGTGTAAAGTCAAAAGATGGGGGCAGGGGGACACCGCCTAATTCAACAAAAGGCTGAAATTTTCAACAAAAAATGGGTCACTGTTGTTGGGAAATAAATAAGATATTTTTCTATAACTAAATGAGTAAGAATACGAAATAAAAACGGAAAAATAATATTTGAAATTGATAACAGAGTTCAGTTAATTTTGCCTACATTTTCGGACTGCTGTAGATCTTTTACTAAAGATAGAAAATTTACAGGTGTTTACAAAACACTCACAACTCACAATAAAACTCTTTAAACTCTTTAGTATTAGGAGAAAGAAATGATTTGGGATGATTTTGAAGCTAAATGGGTAATGATATTTATAGTTAAAGCTTAGGGATTAATTTTGTAAATATCATAAAGTGTGCATGGACTAAAATATAATTATGCCAAATTATATTTTCAATAAAAATTTCGGTGCCCCCTTCGTTGAAAACTTGAGCCTTTTGTTAAATTAGGCGGTACCCCCTGCCCCATACCTTTTGACTTTACAATCTCCCACTTGAAGACTGATTTTAATATGTCTTCACACCTCGATCAATGCAACAACATTTCTAGTCTTGTTACTCTAGCATGCCAACTGAAGCTGAACACAACTTCAGTTTGTCCGTAGTCACCGTCTTTATCAACATGTCTGCCGGATTTTGAGCTCCACTAATCTTTTCAAGTTTCAAAATCTCATATTCCATAAGAGACTGAATAAAATGATATCGCAATTGTATGTGCTTCGTCCTGGAATGAAAAGACGAATTCTTTGCTATATAGATGACACTTTGACTATTGTAATACAAGACATTGTTTTCTTGTTTCTTGCCTAACTCTTCCAAGAAACTTTAGAGCCAAACCATCTCTTTGTTGGCTTCCGTAACAGCGACATATTCTGCTTCAGTTGTGGATAGAACAACTATCTTCTGTAGTTGAGAAACTCAACTCACTGCAGTTCCTCATAGAATATAGACATACCCTGTAGTGCTTCTTCTGATGTCAACATTTCCAGCTAAGTCAGCATCTACATAGCCTGTCAGTATCGTATCTCCACCTTTGAAACAAAGTGTTTTGTTTGTAGTACCCTGCATATATCTCAGGATCCATTTGACTGCTTCCCAGTGTACCTTGCATGAATTATTCATGTACCTGCTAACAGCTCCCACTGCATGAACAATATCTGGTCTAGTTTAAACCATGACATACATTAGACTTCCAAAAGCCAAAGTTCGCACCATCGAACTTTTCAATTTTCACATTCCCTTCGTCTGCAGCCATTGCTACCACTCAAATCTGGCTTCTTTTGGATCGTTTCTGACAATTCTTGCGAACCACCGTGTATTAGAACACCTCCGTTGACAAATTCGTATCGCCGACAAATTTTTACTATTCACGAAATTCACTATTCATATGAATAGTAATAAATAGTAACCTCGCAAAAAATTAACAAAATTCACAACCAAAAACTCTGATTACCAATTGTTAAAAAATTACTCGTTTATTTCACAACAATATATATAATTAATATATTTTTGTAGTTACCGATGCGTTGCAAATCTTGAATTTGTACCGGTATGGAAATTTATTTCTAGTAACAATCTTAGTTACATATATAAATTTTTATCCCAATATTTTATTTTTCTTTAATATTTTTGTTCTTTATTTTACAAATTAATAAAATATGATGAATCGATTTATTTTAATTTTTAAAAGGATCCTTCTGCCCCTTAACTTCATCATGCTAGTCACTTTTAGCTCTTTAAATTTTTATTGTGTTCTTTTTAAAACTTAAACTTTTTATTTTTTATATTTAGCAAATTGACTTAAACGTGACGTGACAATAACACTATTCCTTATTGAAATGATGCCATAAAATATTTTGTCCTTTTTCTCATGCCAACTTAAAATTTTAAAATATCATAAAAGAAAAGTTGATATCAACGTTTCATTAAGGATAAATTACTACTTATTTTTTTTATATATAATTGGGATAGTGAAAATACATTATGCTTTCAGTGTTTAAGATATACAAAATATTAATTCATGTGTTTCAATTAATGAAGTAATGAAATTTGATAATTATTATGTTTTTAGTATTTAAGGTACATAAAAAGAAAATTTGTTAAGCGACTTTAATGATAAAAGGAATGTTGTTTTCTTTAAAGATATTAAGTATAAGCACCGATGTCTAAGATGTATGTTAATAATTAATAAATATTATGAATATATAATATTATATAATCGCTCTAAACTATTAAAAATACAATTAAAAAAACGACGCAGAAGACCAACTCAAACGTAAGCCATGGTCCATCCTATTTTGAGTTTGAATGGGAAAAGTCCACCATGTAGCACTTTGAAAATTTCCAATTTTCACATGCTCCTTTATCAACAATATAGGAAAACCAGAGGTCAAATGTGTGGTGAGGCATTTGCTTTTATTTTAGTAAGACTAGATACATCAAGTTCAATTAACCTAAATAGTTCATGCATCTATGATATTTTAAATTTTTATTTTTTTTTATTTTAAAAGGATTATTTCTAAGTTAAATATTAGAAATTTGAGTGAATTAAATAAATATTTTTTTTAATTGATGTTCCTTTTATAATCATTTATATTTGATTAATTGATTAACTAATACAAAAATTGGATATACGTAGATTTATTATGTGAATGGCCTTCAATTTTATCTTATTTTACTCGCAATACTAAAATTAATCTTAAAAGAGTTGAACAGGTGAAGTGGAAGAATCAACAAAGTAATGATATATTGAAAGTTAAGTGGATTGAGTACAAACCCAAAATCTTTGAGCAGTAAGCCCGTGTGGTTTTCAGATGCTACATTAGTTTTAGAAAATCATTACAGAATTTGTTACTCGTCCTTTTTCAATTTAATATAATTAATTAGATGCGACTTTTTCATTTAATTAACAAACTGTTTGGGTGTGTATTTATTTGACATATTTGTGGCACAAGTTGTGTGGTTATAAAGAATTGCAGTAAATGCCAAAGAAAAATAAAAAGCAAAATTAAACCCATCATGATACAAGTACGCACTGTGAGCCTATTTAGCCGGGGAAATAGAAAAATTAAAATTCTGGTTACACCCTGGTGGTTAGCCCATCCATCCATGATCAGAGGACCAGCTGAATTGTACCCAAGCCAGCAACATGTTGCGTGTTAGTAGAAGTCGTCTATTTTTTCTGGGCTAGCTAGGCCCCAAATGGCAGCATGAGCTTGTTGGCAACGGGGATGACTCCCAAATCATAATATCATCATCAATGCTGCAGGGATGCTTGGAATTTTCTTATTTATTTATTTATTTATTTATTTATCATTTCTTAGTCTAATAATACTCCACTGGGGTCGCTGGACAGCTTTTATCTGATACAACTTCTCTACGAAATGGTGGTGGTACATATGGTGGGGTTGTGCATCTCAGCAGTGCCCATTTGATCCCTTGGAAGAATGGATGGTGCTTGATAGCCGATGCACCCATTGTGGACCCTAGTCGCCTTGCAGGATCCTTCACCAGTAGCTGTGACATAAGATCCTTAGCCGCTGCCAGAACCTCGGGTTCTTTGGGGAACTCAATGGCTCGAGCCACAATGTTAGCCAAGGTTAGCTCATGGTCCACGCCCTTGAATGGTGTTACGCCGTATAACAGTTCGTACATGATTATCCCCAGTGTCCACCAGTCCACAGGGCTACCATGGCCCTCACCCGACACAATTTCCGGTGCCAAATACTCATGAGTCCCCACAAAAGACATGGACCGGATATCAATAGGCTCAGCCACAAATTCAGGCCCACCACGGCGGTCAGTCTTCTTGCGTTTGTGTTTTGGGTGGAAACATGAAACTGCAGGTACTATGCAATTTGGAATAATGCATGAAGAGGATGCAAAAGGAGGCCTATCAATACAATTCTTGTTTTCCAGAGCTGGAAACGGCGGCTTTCGCTCCAAAAAAATTTGGGGTGTTGATGTAGAATCGTTGCATTTTAATGAGAGGTCGAAATCGGTGAGCATAATGTGACCATCTGCTCGAACAAGAACATTTTCAGGCTTTAGATCACGGTAAACGACCCCCATCATGTGAAGGTACTCTAGAGCAACCACCATCTCAGATGCATAGAACCTGCAGACACCAAGAATAAAAACCTGTATTAAAAACCACAACCAACCAACAAACAAATCAACAACCTACAATTGTAATCAATTTCATCATCATCCCATAATGCCATAATCTCATCCAGATGCAAGGGTCCACAAATACCTGCAGGAAACATGAAAGATAACCTTTTCTTTCCTTTACGGACAAAATTTGTATGGAGAAGAAAACAACTAAGATGCTCATAATGTCAAGCACTTCTTGATCAGACATAAGGACCTACCACCATTATTCCTCAATCACAGCAAATTTATGCTTGATCTACAGACGAAACTAAGACGAGAAGTCATCTTGCTTCTACATGTCCTATATTATGCATACTATAAGGAATCTAGGTGCCTCATTTTCCATCCGAATCTAAATGACTTGAACACCTAACTTGTATTCTTATATTGAAGCATATTCCCGATTTCACACTTCCTAGATGTTCCCTGGTATTGTCTCTTACATGGAGCTGCCGCTAATGTTTATTGATCATAGTATGCATGTACAAAATTATTCTATATCAATCATATAATGCATACAGAAGTTATTTGGCATCAATCATGCAACTACTCATTATCAAAGAGGCAAGATTTGTTGTCTTCTCCTTTTAACTTTATTTGCTCAAACACAAAATTCTTACCGAGTCGAGTTAAAACATGTTATCATCTCAGTCATTTCGCTACTAGTTTATAGCATTGAACGGTTAGTTGGCAGGGACACGAGACTATAAAAGGAGAGGCCCGAGAGGGACCCAAAAAAAACGGGGTCTTCCGTCATCAAAGTTTAAACTTGAACTAACAAACCAAATCCCAGAAATCAAGCTGCATAAAAAGGAATTCAGATTCAGATTTTCAGGGTTAAAAAAAACAAAATTTGCTGGCTTAACTTCTCACTCATCACTGCCGAGAGGGAGACTTTTGACATGAAACATGTTAAAAGGCATACAGTAATAACAATGTAGCCAGAAACAATATACTGGACCACACGCTCACCTGACACTGTTACCAGATTTTGAGACCCTTTCTCCTGTTCAATCACATCAACAATAAAAAAAACAGACGTAGCTTTTTAAAAGAAGAAAATGTTAAGTGGGAGGATGTACCTGACGGCAGATACTGAGAAACGTTTGAGGGGTTGCCGTTGACGGAGGACGTGAAGGTCACCACCTGGACAAAACTCCGTTAACAAACAGAGCCATCTAGGGGAATCGATAGCCGCGTAAAGCGAAGGTAGAAAAGGATGGTCCAATAATTTGAGTATTTCCATCTCAGTCCTTACTCGCCCTTCTTTACTCCTGGACGCTAGCTCTTTCTTGTCCATCACTTTCGCTGCAAAAACGACTTCGTTTCTTATTCTCCTTCTCGCATTGTCGTCGTTGTCAACGGCATTGGGGTCGGGAGGTAGTGGTTCAGGAGACCTGAGTTCCGCCAAATAGACTGAGCCGATATCACCGGAGCCGAGACGGAGAGAGAAGCGAAGGTCAGCGAGAGAGAGGGTGGATGAGCGGAGATGTTTAGAAGAGAAGGAACCGTGAGCGGAAGGAGCTAGGGAGGAAGAACCAGAGTTGGAGGCAGAGGCAGACCCAGAGCCAGAGCTGGTGCTGCCGTTTATGATGATGCTGGAACTTGAGGTGAAGCTTACGCTTTGGAGATCGTCGGCTAAGTCGTCAAGCCACGGCTCCATCGTTAACACTTAACAGAGAAAATAAAGGAGATGGAGGGAGGGCAGGAATATAAATAGAGTTGGGGAGAGAAGTTTTATAAAAAGGTAGATAGGTCGACCGGTCGGGTCGGATTGGTACCTGGATTTGATAAGGGTCATATGATTGGTTGGATTTGATTCAGTAAATGTGGTGTTAAACTGACAGTTAATTCTCGGATTGAATACTTTGTAATTATCTATCACTATAGTAAATTGAAATTAAGCGAAGAATTGGGAATTCCTCTTTTTTTTTTTCTTGTTAATTTTCTTTAAAGAGAAAATAACTTCAGTGACCGAAAATGTCTTATAATATACGATTTTAACTAATTTTTTTTTAGATTTACGAAAATGACCAATAAATTCGCAACGCGAACTCCAATTTCGCAACTCAGTTTTCAAATTCGCAACGCGAATATGTAAATCGCATTGCAATTTTTCGAATTCGCGTTGCGATTTTGAAAACTGAGTTGCGAAATTGGAAATCGCAACGCGAATATGTAAATCGCAACGCGTATCTGTAATTCGCAACACAGAAGTCAAATTCGCAAAGCGCGTTTATTTTCGCAACGCGAATTTTATTTTCGAATTCGAAACATAATATTAATTTCGCAACACAAATGTAAACAATATAATCGTAAATTATAACCTAAAACCCTAAATCACAACTCAGTCTCATCTCCATCTCTCACTCTCTACGGCGACATCTGTCCCCATCTCCGACGAAATCCGTCCCCATCTTCGGCAAAATCCGTCTATCTCCATCTCTCAGAGCCACCCTCACAACCATTCACGGTCAGAAATGGAAAATCAACCACCGAGGGTTAGTTTTTTTTAATTATTTTTATTTTGAAATTTTTGTGTTATTATTAGATTTTTCATATTTAAATTGATGATAAATTTAATGGTAATTTCAATAATAGATTAACCATTTCACTTAGATTGCTTAGTAAATTCATTCGGTTGCTGCCAATACTGCTAAACTGTTTAGTCTTTAACCCTGTGAAGTTAGTATTTGTCTTTGTTTTTTCTTTTGGTTGAAGTAATGCAATTCATTCAAGTTTCAATTTGCAGAAGACTATTTGAAACTTAAATTCGCAATACGAAAATTTGCGTTACGATTTTCATTTTGCGTTGCGATTTTAAGTTTCAGAAACTATTCTTCTTCTGTAAATTGAAACTTGAATGAATTGCATTACTTCAACCAAAAAACAAAGACAAATACTAACTTCATAGTGTTGCGAATTTAAGTTTCAAGAATAAACTACTACTCTTTATGTTGTCCTTGAACCTATACTAAACCTATATGTTGTCCTTTTAAATGTTTATATAAGTGCTTACTTCTGGAATGTTATCTGATGCATTTTGTGAACTATGATAGAATAATGACTTTGGTGAATACCATGCAAGTTTGAAACATATTTGACTTTGTTTTCACCGTTTAATATCATGTCTGTTTATAGTGTATAATTTGCAGTTTTTGGTATATCTAACTTGGTATGTTTATTGTTTTTGTAGAAATTTTTTTCGGCTTCATTGACCTTAAGGAATAAATTAAGCCTAGCCACTACAATTGCGTCGACGCATACACTTGTACAAAGAAAATTGTTTGAGTATACTTGCTAAGGGCCATGGCTGAAAGTACAACATCCGGGTGGAGATGCTATGTTGACTTATTTGTTTCTTCAGACCATGACTAACGATCTACCCGAGAGGATACAACGTGGTGATGAAGAGATATGATTTCATTTTCCTCCGGCGTATACTTGTTTTGGGCGGGAGGAGTTTTGCTTAATCACTGGTCTACGCTTCGAACACGATGATGTAGGTCGGTACACTAGTCATATCGCCCGCCCATCATGGTTATCTCGGGTTTTTCCTGAGCTGGCAAAGGCAAAGCCGAGTTTACACGTCGACGACTTGAAAAGATTATTTGTTAAAGATGATTTTACTCGGATGCATGACCTCGATGTTGTCAGAGTATGCCATTTATTACTTTTGCATGCCAGTTTTTTAGGCAAAGAGGCCAGACAACCTATTTCTGAGGACCTAATATTATTGGTAGAGGACCTAAATGCATGTAACCTATTTCCGTGGGGTTCATATCTATGTAACCTGTTTCCGTGGGGTTCATATCTATGAAAAAGTTTGCGTGACCATGGTTCCAAATACACTTTGGCATGCTTTATTTGGGTCTTTAAGTTAAGAATTTATATATAATGTTTTCAAAATTATAATTAATTATTTAACAATTACTAATGTTTGTGTATTATATTGTTTGTAGATTTGGATATTTGAGGCTTTTCCCAGCATGCAGACATATGCAATCAAAAATTCAAATGATATTCCTAGGGTTTTTTCCTGGAGGAGGATCCGGCTGTTGGATTGGGAAGAGTTACTACCATATACGACGATGAATGATGTAAGTTAACACAAATACTACCATATGTTAACAAGTTATTACTAGTAGACGTTTAACTTTGTTTGAGCTTTTATATTGTTAGGAGGCCAACTATCCATTACAGAGGCTGAGCTTGCCACTGATTGGTGGCAAGCTAGTAAGCATTTTTTTATTGCACAAATGATGAGCAACCCCCACTTCGAGAGCCATCACCTCACCCAGAGCCATCACCTAATCGAGCTGATTATACACCTCCACAACGAGAGCTATCACCTATTCCATCACATCATCGAGCCTCTTCTCCACCATCACATCATGATAGGCAACCGACAAAGATGCCACGACATTTATCTCCCTGTTCTCCACCTCCACGGGATGAATTAGGGGAGTTACGTGATGAGGTCAATGCTTTGCGTGAGGAGGTCGATACTTTACGTGAAGACAATGATGCATGGCGTGATGAGGTACGGTCTTTACGTGGTGAGGTAGAGGTTTTACGCGATGACAATGGTGCTTTACGTGGTGAGATATCTACTTTACGTGATGAGATAGCCGCTCTACGTGAGATTGTTGTATAGTTGTAGAATGAGGTTCATACTCTACGCAATGAGGTAAGTTTGTTTAATACTATACTAAAAATGAAAATAACCTTTTTTGGCATTATTTATTGTTTATTTATTGATTTGTATTAATTTATTTTTAGCGGCCTGATAAGATAGATACTTTACGTCGAGTTTTTCTTGCACGACGAGGTTCACGCATCAGACGTCGTGCACGTGCCATTATGTCTCTGTTCACCCCAATAGTGCCAAGACTCCGTAAGAAGAAGCCCGATTCACCTGTCATCTTTCAAGAGGCCCCTATCATCCTTCAAGAGGCCCCTCCCACCGTTCAAGAGGCCCCTGTCAACGTTCAAGAGGTCCCTCCCACGGTTCAAGAGCCCGATTCACATGGCATAATATGTCGACATATTGATAAACCCCCTCAAGTGCCCGACATGATGGATGAGAGTTGGTTTTCGTATGAGTTACCGGTCAGTACCATTCCGATATCTGAAGTGGAGAGGAGAACACTACTGGACACAATTCTGGATAATACCCTTTGGGCTAAGACCGCAGTTGATTTTTATCTACATGAGCGGAGCCAGGGGTGTTACGCTGACATATACAAACTCGACGATGATATGCATTTGTTTCTTGATCTGTCTTGGTGGGGTATGTTATTAGGGGTTGAAGACATTGACTATTTCGACGGGGGTAAGTCTTATATTCTTCTTATATTGCATTTTGATTATTTTTTGAGAAAATAACTTCAGTGACCAAAAATGCCTTATAATATACGATTTTAACCAATTTTTTTTAGATTTGTGAAAATGACCAACAAATTCGCAACGCCAACTCCAAATTCGCAACTCGGTTTCCAAATTCGTAACGCGAATATGTAAATCGAGTTACAATTTACATATTCGCGTTGCGATTTACATATTCACGTTGCGAATTTAGAAATTGGGTTACGAAATTGGAAATCGCAACGCGAATATGTAAATCGCATTGAGATTTTCCGAATTTGCAACGCGATTTTCAAATTCACAACGCGAATATGTAAATCGCAACGCGAATTTATAATTCGCAACACAGAAGTCTAACTTGATATGTTTATTGTTTTTGTAGAAATTTTTTTCGGCTTCATTGACATTAAGGAATAAATTAAGCATAGCCACTACAATTGCGTCGACGCTTACACCTATACAAATAAAATTGTTTGAGGATACTTGATTCAGACCATGGCTGAAAGTACAACATCTGGGTGGAGATGTTATGTTGACCCATTTGTTTCTTCAGACCATGACTAAAGATATACCCGAGAGGATATAATGTGGTGATGAAGAGATATGGTTTCATTTTCCTCCGACGTGTACTTGTTTTGGGCGGGAGGAGTTTTACTTAATCACTGGTCTACGCTTCAGACACGATGATGTAGGTCGATAAACTAGTCATATCACCCGCCCATCATGGTTATCTCAGGTTTTTCCTGAGCTGGCAAAGGCGAAGCCGAGTTTACACGTCGACGACTTGAAAAGATTATTTGTTAAAGATGATATTACTCTGATTGATGACCTCGATGTTGTCCGAGTATACCATTTATTACTTTTGCATGCCAACTTTTTAGGCAAAGAGGCCAGACAACCTATTTCTGAGGACCTAATATTATTGGTAGAGGACCTAAATGCATGGAACATGTTTCTATGGGGTTCATATCTATGGAAAACTACCTAGAAAAAGTTATCGTCTGCCTTTGAGGACCGAAAAAGTTTGCGTGGCCATGGTTCCAAATATACTTTGGCAGACTTTATTTGGACCTTTAAGGTAAGAATTTCTATATAATGTTTCCAAAATTATAATTAATTATTTAATAATTACTAATGTTTGTGTATTATATTGTTTGTAGATTTGGATATTTGAGGCTTTTCCCAGCATGTGGACATATGCAATCAAAAATTCAAATGATATTCCTAGGGCTATTTCCTAGAGGAGGATCCGACTGTTGGATTGGGAAGAGTTACTACCATATACGAGGATGAATGATGTAAGTTAACACAAATACGACCATATATAAATAAATTATTACTAGTAGACG